CCGTGTCCTGGCAGGAGACATCTGGAGAGCCTGCTGCTCTCTTTTCTCTCCTTCACTTCAGCTACTTCGGGAGTGGTGTTTTACTGTTTCCTCTCCGCTACTTAAATCAGTGTGTTTCCGTGGGATCTCTTTCTACGATAGGAGTGAGATTCCCTTTGATGACTTCCTCTGTGGGCCCAGAGGAGGGCATAGCATGGTGTCACATTGGTCACTATTTCTCAGAAAGATGAAAGCCCACTTCCTGCTGTTTTGAGGATGACCCTTAGTCCTGTGAGTTTGGGCAGCGCATCGACTTACTTCCCCTGTGAGTCACTCACCACTGATCCAGATGAGAAAGCAGTTTGTTTCCTTGGTCCCTTCACTACTGTTAGCATGACTTTCTAACAGAAGTGTCTCTTTCTTCCAGGTCATGTTCCTGGCATCTGCTTACGCGAGTCCCCGACTCTCTGCAGAGGGCTGCTCCGCCATCGCCGCTGTCACGCACTACCTGTATCTCTGCCAGTTCAGCTGGATGCTTGCCCAGGTTGGTACCTGGCACCCTGGGGAGTGGTCTTGGTATTTCGAATCCTTGGTGCTAAATGGAAGTGGATCTGTGAGCCCTTATTCCATTCCCAGGATGGGAATGTGAGGAGCTCCCTGTAAACCATGCGGTGTGAGGGAGATGGTGAGTTTGGAAGAACAGGAGCTCTCTGTAGAGCGGCAAACAAGTATACAGGAGATGTGGGGTGCAGTGTGGCCCCTGTGGGGCACAGTAAGACATGTGAGTATTTTCCTAGGGGAGATAATGGAATTAGGTAAGTAAAGGAGTACTATGATACAGATTTGGGGTCTTGAAAGATGTTCCTGCTTTGGTGAATTGGAGATAGGAAAGAGCGGGTGGGGCATTCACTGGATTTGAGAAGGAAATGTTAGTGTGAATGAGGGAAGTAGCAGTGGAAACGAGAGGCAGACAGCTTTGGAGTTTGTGAGAATTGATGTAGAACTTTAAGGTAGGTTGCTTGTGAGGGATACAGCAGGGAGAACCAGGGGGTTTGTGGAGTTTCCAGTGTGAGCATCTGTGGACAGTGGTGCCTGGAGAGTGGTGGGGAGGTGATGAGTGTAGTTTGGGACGCTCCAAAGGCAAAGCCCCCATGAGACCTTTAACAGCACTTCGGGAGAAGGGGCCCACCCTTCTCTAAACCCTGGCCCAGAGAAATGCATCAGAAAGTAGAGCGTAGGAAACGTAGTCATTGCCTTGCAAACACCCGCTGGGGAAGAGCGTGATTGGAGCGAAGGGGCCGGGGCAGACTCTCCCGAGGAACTCACTAAGGGAGGGAAGCCACCTGAACACGCCTGTTCGGACTAAGACCCCCAAACTCACTGTCGTGAGCTGTCCTGCTTGATAGAAGACAAGTGAGAGCAGGCCCGCTGCAGCAAGTAGTGTGCTGCTTGAAGAACTTAGCTAAGTGCTGCACTAGGTGCCACCGCACTCAGAGGGGACTTGTTCAGTCCTTGTGTGCAGAGTAGGCCTCCATGTGTTTCTTGGGATGCATGTGAATGCTTGTGCACAGGAGTGCTCCAACTCCAGCGTGTTCTTTATCATGGTGGGGTGAGCAGGGCGTGGGGTTTGGCTGTCAGCAACACTGAAGTCACAGCAGAACGAAAGCAGGCGGTGTTACTATTCTGGAGCACCACGCAGGCGCAAGACACTTGGAGCATTGCAGAGGCAAAGGAGAAGGGCACTGAATTACTTAGATAGCACAGCTAATTAGAACATTTGGGGCCTGAGGCCTGGGTTTGAATTCCAGCTCCACCACCATTTGCATGCGCTTAATCAAAGCATTAACTTTCTCCAGTGTTTGTTTCTAAGTCTGCCTAGGGGGATAATTCGCAAGCCACAGAAGGAGTGTTTTAGAGCTCTTTTGCAACACTTATCAAAAAGTGTTCTCTAACACCGCCCTCAAAAGTTTTTTTTTGTTTTGTTTTGTTTTTTCAAGATGAAATCTAAACCCTATAACATGAAACTTAGCTAGAAACTAGCCTTGTGGCCCTAGGTTTCTTGGCTGCAGGAGGCCTTAGGAGGTTATCTCCGCTGAACTCTCTCAGCTGTGCTCGCAGAGCTTCTCATCTGTCTGCACTGAGGCTCCTGGGCTGTGCCAAAGGTCTCTGTCTAGGCCCCTCACCTCCGCAGCAGTTTTGATTAATGACTTGGATAGAAACACGAGACACCACCAATCCGATTTGCGAGGGTACAGGTTGGGTTGAGGGCCGCAGGGCCAGCAAGGAAGGTGTGCTCCCTGCACCAAGATGACAGGAGAAACCGTCCTGCCGGATTGAATGCTGGGGGAAACGACATCAGATGAGACTCAGTGTGAAGGACTCCAGATTTGAATCTAACATAAGCTCGGTGGTGGTCGTACATGTAAGCCCTGTGAGCACAACACCAGGGAACAGGACAGAGGCGGGCCCACCAGTGGGGCATCTGCAGTGCTGGTTCACAGTGGCCACTTCCAGGTTGTGTTTCAGCGGGGATGTGAATCAGGTGACAGTCCTGCAGAGGGCTGTGGGGCAACAGGCCGCGCCTGGGCGGGATGGAGGGGTGGAGGCCTCCTGCCAATCCAAAAGCGCTGTGACAGAAAAGAAAGGTAGACAAGGCAGGTCTGTTTGGCAGGAGCAGAACAAAATGGTCAAAACTGAGGGAAGCAGATTTTGAGCTTATGTAGCCAAAGAACTGTCAGCATCACAGAGACTATTTGTAGAAGTAGAATGAATCCAATCACTGAAATATATCCAATAGAGAAAAACGACCAACACTTGCATGATTTAGATGAATTTCCTGCTTTGGGAGCGCACTGAACAAGAGGCCATGTAAAATTTCACCCAACTTCATGAGGACCCAAGAGCCCTTCTGCTCTTAAGTAGATTTGATTGTTGCTGATGTGCAGTTAGTGAATTAGGTTTCTGTATGACCAACAGTTTAGGAAAACTACTTATAAAGTGCCAGTGAAGTTTAACGTATTTTGCATGGTGCACCACACATTTTTCATGGTTTGTGGTATAACCACAAGGAAAATTTCAATAACTTTTGGATCCTACGTAGGTTGCTTTGCATAAGTTATTCTGTGGTCAGAGGTTGTCACTTCACCGACCTGTATTTTCCCATTATAAAACACTGTATACTAACATGTTTAACTAGAATTTTTTTAAATATTTTGGAAAAAGTTAGACTACTATTAGTAGCATTGGGTTGAAAAAAATTAAAAGAATAATAGCATTTTAATGATTACACTTCATAGATTTCAGCAGTTTAGGGGAGGCTCTAATACTGTGTATACATGCATAGTTGAAGAGTGTCAGTGTAATTACTCTATTTTTTAATCACTGGGCTAAGGATATAAGAATTAGTGTTTATTTTTGTGTGTACCATCTTCTCAATCTTAGAATAAGTCATTTAAATAACCTTATTTTAATGCTCTTATGGTATAGATGGATATTTTTAGAAGAGTCAAGAAAAATGTATTATAAAACAGGTCGCATAACCTGAGTCTGGGCTCTCTTATCTGAGAAATCAGGTTTAACAGGAGCCACCTTTGAGAATTGTGGGAAGATACATTAAGGCCGTGGAAGAAGCTGGTGTGGTAGCTGCACAATTTACACACACATTATCTCTCTCTCTCTCTCTCTCTCTCTCTCTCTCTCTCTCTCTCTCTCTCT